TTTATACTACAAAACCGCCAAAAACCCACTTACGTATTAGCCACATACTAGTTAAATACTAGTTCATTTACAATGCTGGATTCCGCTTTGCGGAAATAAAAATAAAAAATGTTGTCAAAATGAGAATGCGAGTACGAATACGAAAAAGCAATGCTTCAGAACGGAGCATATTAAATCGGAAATAGATTTTAGCCCTGGTGCGTTAAGCACTTCACTCCGGTGAAGTCATAGTAGTCGTGATTTAGAGAACAGTAGGAAACTAGTATGATTTTATTAAACGAAATCAAGAGCAACGAGTCGTTATAAAACTGTGCGCCAAATTGGGCGAAACAGCTTCGGAAAAGTATGCCAAAATTGTAAAAGTGATAAGGCTCTTAGTAGTGCCCAAGCTCAGAATGGTTGTCTTCGCACATCCCCCGCCGTGATAGCCGTGGAATCGTCCACAAAGAATTTCATATACCGCTTCAAACCTTAAACCAAGTATACTATCACCAAGTACTAGAAAGATTGCGAAAACGAGTCAACAGGGTATGCCCAGACATCGCTAGTAACTGGATCCTTCATCACGAGAACGCGCCGTGCCACACCGCCCACAGCCTTATTTGCCCGATATGTTACCCTCTGACTTGTTTTCTCCCTAGAACAAACTCGGTAGTCAAAGGAACCCATTTTGAGTTGATTGAGGCCATCCAGGTGGCCGTAATGAGAGTAATCGCGGACATTCCAGTCAAAGCGTTCCAGAAATGTTACGAAGTATGGAAAACGCGCTGGAATCATTGTATAGCTGTCCAAGGGGACTACTCTGAAGGGGAGGGCAGAGTTTTAGCATAATACTGAGTTAAACGAGTTTTGTTGAATCAGTCTCATTACTTAATTGTCACACCTCGTATCTTCAAAACACTGGTATTGATGCGGAATTTTCGCTTAACAATTTAGTTTTACACTACAGGGTAATGGGTCATTTCAAAGAGCACTTCGGTTCATTCCCTTACTGGTAAAAAGTGGGAAAAGTACAGTTAAAAACTGCAAACTGTCGCCCACTTATCATAATAGGTGGCTGATACTAAGTGTTAACATTAAGCTTTAAATTTTAAATGAACTTAAAGTAGCACAACCCATTAGTAAGAACTTTCAAACACAATTACCACGAACCGACCATTAATCTTTAACATTACGTGTCATTTTTTTCTGACCATCCACCTCTTTGATGCATAAGTGCAAATAGTTTTTTTTCTTTTTAAACTTCCCTCCCACCCCTTCTTTACATTGTGGTTTTTAGTTGTCGCCTGGGCAACGTTAGAGACGATTTGATCTAGCCTGTCAACTCGAGATGTACAAACTGGCAATTTAACTGGTAACACGCTGACATTTAGCCTTATGTGTGCACGCTTTTTGTTTTTGCTATGAACAAAAGGCTTTCCCATTTCGCAATTTTGCTATCTTAACTACATACACTACCCACACACCAATGTCTACTGGCATGACTAAATTTCAAAATGTACGCATACTAGCAGTCATCTACGATATACTATATATGTATATGTACAAATGCAAACATATACTCGTATATGCAGTTATGCAAGGTTCAGAGGTTGTGAAAAAAATAAAGCAAAAGTGTGACATTGCCTCCAGGCAACTCTTTTACTATTTCATTTTGCCTCAACTGCCCCACTTTTATTCTATCTAGTCATTTTTTGCTCTTCCTTGCGCACACTCACACACAAACACAAGGTTTCTGTTTTCAATTATTTGTTCAAATAATATTTCACTGGTTTTGAGTGCGCATATTTTGCTCTTGGTGATATTACATTTATTGCCATTTAATTGCGCTCCCTGGATGTTATTAGCAATAATTCATGAAAGGAATTTGCAAAACTTAAACACTGATGCGAAATATAAAACCATATTATATTCCTATATAATTGCGCTTGGTAACATCGGCTCCTCCTCCAATTTTTGGTGTGAGTCTTGATGTTTTCCCAAACAAATGGAGGGACCTACAGTTTATTCTAAGCCGCTTACGAACGACCATCAAGTCGCTCATCATACCCGTCCTACTATATAGCGCAGAAGCGTGGACGATGTCAACATCTGATGAGTCGGCCCTGGGAGTCTTCGAGAGAAAAGTTTTGCGAATATTTATGCTTCTTTGCGCATTGGTAACGGCGAATACCACAAACGATGGAATGATTAGCTGTACGAGCTATACGACGATATTGACATGGCTAAGTTAATCAAGAGACAGCGGTTACGCTGGCTAGATCATGTCGTGCGAATGGACGAAAGTATTCGATGCAGTACCCGCTGGTGGCAGTAGAACAATAGTAACACCTCCACTCCATTGGAAGGATCAGGTGGAGAGTGACCTGACTTCACTTGGTTATCCCAACTGGCGCCAGACAGCGAAAAGAAGAGAGGAATGGCGCACTATAAATGATTCGGCTATAATCGCGTAAGCGGTGCCAACGCCAATAAAGAACGAAAAAAAAATTTTGACGTTTGTCAAACCAGAACTCTCCTGAAATGATTAAATTCTCATCAAAAATTATCTCTTATATAAATCCATCAGATATATATATTTTATTTCAAGTAAATTGATCGAAAAGTCCTTGACCCACTTCCACCTATGTGCCGAATTCACACTGGTCTGCCTATATTGCCTGCATATATCACTGTCAGTAAATAATGCTTCGCCAGAGGGTTGTTGCATAACATGAGACCTTCAACAGTTCTGCTCCTCTTTCAGGATCATCTTCATCTTCTTTGTGGGCGTAGACGCCGCTTGTACGATTGTAGCGCGCAGTTCGTTTCTCCTCTTAGCCCATCGACTCCATTTGGAGGCACCAAGTGAAGCCGCCTAAGCTTTCGAACAGAATGAAAGCCTTCCTCTGCTTCCACAGCCATCGTCTCGTAATCAGTTGAATTATGTAAACGTTGCTGCATATATCCTTCCTTCGTGTACATTGTTCGCCATCGTCCATACGTGGGGAACTATACTATTCAATGACTTATAATGTGGCACCTGAGACTGTCAACTGTTACCTTGGGAACCAGCGCAATAGTTCTTCTGAAACCTCGTTTGGTACTAAACCTTCCGGAGAAGGTAACTACATAGAGGCAGGTTCTTTTCGTGCTCCCAAACGCCGATTGAAATAGATCGCGGCTCTTTTACAAGTTGAATTGCCGGAAAAAGTTCTAGCGCACAAGACCTCGTCAATTTACATCCACATACAAGCATTTATCACTTCAAATGAAAACATAAAGTTATAACTGATTTAGTTGCAATCTTCTTTGATATTTCATTCAGTTAGCTCATTTCGGCGATGCGAATAGTTTATAAAAAATTCATTACGGCGTTTTAGAATAAAGATTTGGAATGACGATTTCACGCAAATAAAAATTTTAGATATCAAAAAATGTATAAAAATATTTTATCGCATATAATATAAATGACATTAAGCGGAAGTAAATCAATATAGAAGTGTAAATAATAATGCAGATATATACATAATATATTTGTAAGTGTACCTATTGCTTTCTGCACTTTGCTGCGGCAGTAAATCTAATATTATTCCTCCCCTAGCCGAGCCTCACTCCCTAATGGCTGAGCTTATACTGAAATAATATTTATAGACAGTTTTTTAGTTTCAATATTAAGTATAAAAGTGCATTGAAATATTTTGTCTTGTTTTTTTAAAAGAACATTTATCAAATTTCCCGGCGAACAATAAAGTTTTAGAAGTGAAAATACCGTCATTTATCCTGTCGTGAAAGTTGATGATCGTAACAAGATGTATAATAAAATTTTCTCGAATTTAGAGGCAGAGGTTATGACTGAGCAGTGTTAAAATCAAATAAAACACAAACAAATTTAATGCTTTAACCAAATTAAATGCAATAAAAAAATTAAATTAAACAAAATTAAAATATAGTAAGATAAGTCAAATATTATTAACGTTATCAAACAAAAATATATAAAAAATAAAAATACAGTAAAATTAATACATTTAAAAACATATAACAAAATAAAATATAATAAAAAAAATTATAAAAAAAAAATAATTTAAACTGAAATAAAATAAAATTGAAATGAATAAAATAAAGTAAAATAAAATAAAATAATAAAAAAATTAGAAGAAATACAAAAAAATAATATGATAATAACAAATAAAATAAAATGAAACAAAACATAAAATATACCATAAATAAAAGAACGTAAGAAAAAAATTATATTAAAATGAAATAGAATGATATAAAATAAAACAAAATATTTTAAACTTAATTAAAATAAAATAAAAAAATTAAAAGAAAATAAAATATACGAAATAAAATAATTTAAAATATAAATAAAAAATTAAAATAAAAAAAAATAAAATTAAAAAACCTTATATAAAATTAAATGAAATAAAACAAAACAAAATTAAGTAGAACAAATTTAAATAAAAAAAAATGTAATTTAGTTGAAATAAGATAAAATAAAAAAATGTTTAAAACATATAAATTTAAAATAAAAATAAAAGAGTTTAAATATAATAAAATGAAATGAAAAAAAAAAAAATAAAATAAAATAAATAATTTAAAATAAAAAAAAATTTAAATATAATAAAATGAAATAAAATAAATAATAAAATGAAAATAATAAAATAAAATAAAATAAAATAAATAAATAAACAAAAACGAAGAGTAATAAAGAAAAAATAATATGATAATAACAAACAAAAAAAATTAAATAAAATACAAAAAATTAATATAAACAAAAAAAAAAATAAAATTAAAAAAAATTAAATGTAAAATGAAATAAATTAAAAAGTTGTCAATTAGTCAAATTGCATTTCCAGGGTTGCCATTTTTCGAAATGTAAGGGCAAACCTCGTATAGAAGCATCGTATAAGATAACACTGCATGATTTTGAAATACTCTTCGAAAAGTTTGTGGCTCAGTGGCTAACCGACAGAGTAAAAACAAAATCTCAATGCCGTTAGAACGGTTAGGTGACTTACCTATTTTCTCCAATTCCCCTTAAACAGCAACAACAACAACGACAACCGCATAATTGTTGATTCAACCATAATCGTCTTAGCGGACCCTAAGCAAAGTTAAAGTAAAGAAAATATTCTTAAATATAACTTTCGTTTATGCCATATTTAATAAAAAAAAAAATGTATATGATATGTTTGGTAATATGGAAATGATATAAATTTAATATGAAATACATATTCATGCTTTAAATATATGCATACGTGTAAAGGTTACCACTATATAGTCGAACAAAAAATTTAAAACTAAAAACTTTCTACGAAATATCACTTATTTACATGCAACAAAAGCATTTTTGCCTACACATACTATTACATTTGTTAAATTGCATTGAAACATGTCAGCATTATTGCATTACAAGTTGTTTTGTGTGTGTGTGTATGTGACATCTGCATCACTGCTACCTGCAGTCGGAATGCCTTTAGCAATGAGAAAACGTAGAAAAATACCTGCCGTCTATCAGGTCCAAATTTGGCATGAAACAACGTGAATGAAGTGTATACTTGTATGCATTTGGGTACAGTATGTGCGTGTGGGTGCAAATTCTATATGTCTTTCAGCTTCATTGTATTTCCAGAATGCATCTACCTGTTTTGTACAATAATGGTCGGCATCTGATGAATGTATGAGCATCATAAAGAGACTATTTTTTGTGTACTACATTATTAGAGGCATAAGAAAGTACATTATGGAATTGAACAACATGTATACATGTATATATATTAGGGTGAATTTTACGGTAACTACGACTTTGTGCTTGAAAAAACTGACAGATTCCTTCTTTGAAGGCGTGTTTGTCTTGCTGGGCAGGAAGAAACGTTCGCTCAAGGATCCGGATGACTTGAAGTTTCGATGGATACTTTTGCCAAGCATTTATGGAACTAATTTTCGTAAGATAGAAAGGGAGAAGTCTAAATTTTCTTGTTCTTATTCTTTTTCCCCCTCTTCTTTACTGACGTGAACATCGCTTACGCGATTATAGCCGAGTTAACAACAGCGCGGCATTTACTTCTTCTTTTCCCTATTTAGCGGCCCTTGGAAATACCAAGTACAGCCAGGTCCTAACAACGGAATGGAGGTCTCTCTCGGCTTTTGCTTCAACTGACGGGTACAGCATTGGAAACTATAAAAGCTTTGATCCGCTCAAATTTGTCTCAATAGGTGTCTGTTAGTAAATTTTCATTAACATTTATCTATGAATATGCGCACAAAATGCTATGGTCTTGGCAAGACCTTTGCCGTCTGACTTTGCGGCGACTATTTTTAGCAAGCAGTACATGGTATTCCTTGCCTTATGACATCACCTCAATACGCCTACGTGATATTTGCTTATATTGCCCTTACGCCTTGTTTTCTTCTGGATCAGCGTTCCTTGGCATTTCTTTCAAGGAATTTCCACAAACCCTTTTTGATTTTACGTTAGGACAAAAAGTTCCTCTGTACGACATTTGACATTTTTGCTTCGACTTTCATTGCTTTACGCCAAGTACCAAGGGTGCTCTTAGATCTTTATTCTCAGCGCAAACCATAAACGCTTTCCCTGGTTGCCACTGTGACGTCGTTATTTCCACTTCGTATATTTTATTTCATCTCACTTTGTTATATGCCTGAGGCAAGCAACTAGTGTCGGCATGCCATACGTTAATTGCGACCCTAACATGTTATCCTGCCAATTTCCTTCATCGCACATGTCCCTTGCTTCACACCTCAGTTTCAGGCCTTTGATGTCGTCTTTATTTGACATGTCTTTAAGGGATTTTCCTCTTACGCCGATTTGCCACTTTTGAAGATCTCGTTTCTTATTCTGTCTATTTTCCTGAATTTACAGCGCCCTTTCTCTTTCTTGGGCCTTCTTTTTTGTCACTTCTTGAGTGCATTTTTTGACAGATTTTTAACATTCCAAGCATTTTTGGCATTTTCTTAAAGGTTCGCTTCGCATTTTTTATTGGTTTTTTTATTGCTTTCGGCATATTCGACTATTACCAAATGATTATTACTGGTTTTTCTCCGTTTCGCTGCTATCTCTTTCGGTAGGTAGCAACACTGCATTGGCTAATTTCACCATAATTTAAAATCTGTACATTTTTAATTATTCATGAAAGCAAAAAATCACAGAGATCAGAAAAAAATGTAAGCAATAACCTCACAATCTTCAAGATCTGGCTGACAGAGAGTTAACATGCTTTCATAGTTCGCAATGGTTCACAGGCTAAAGCACGCAAACAGTTCAATTTAAAAATCATTGACTAAAAGGAATGAAAAGTTATATATGAAGCTAACGTGATATCGTTGCTAAAGGTTAATATCAAAGAAGAGAGGATTAGACTCGTTTACACAACACTACTGTAGGTAGTACAACAATGCGTATACGTAACCTTCTTGACTTCATGATTTTTCAATGATAATAAAGAATGCTTCGAGTTCGATCAGTGGATTGTTAAGTAAAAATCACCAAATTTTTTGTACAATTTTTTAATTTATTACTCAATATATATCATTTAACTTTACCTTACACACAACGTTTCATAGTAAAACTTGAACACTTTTTTTTACCTTAGATCAAATTGTCACCAACAAGTTCGCTTTGTAAGTGAACAAATATGAACCAATTGTTCACATAAAGCACACCAAAAGTGAGTTTTTAGGGATGTGGATTATCATTTGATTCCACTTCAAAACTCTGCAATTATTTTACTGTTCTTGCATTACCCTAGCAGAACCAATATAAAAATGTGTTGTACTTAATCATACTCGTATACTTGCATATGCGAGTATATGTAAGTTTGTGATTTTTATCATTTATTTATATTTACTAAGCTCTTGCAACCATCTCACAAGTTTTCCTTACGAAACGTTGGAGAAATATGCATATGTATGTACTTGTATATTTATATGTATGGCCCACCGAAGCCAACTTTATTCCAATGCACAAATTTTGATTTCTCTGCAATAAAAGCGCTTAGCACAATGAGCTTTAAGTTGCCTTTCCGCTTATAAGTAAGTAAGATTGAGTTTGTTGCCAAATCGGAAATTAATTTTTTTTTTTTTGCCCCAGCATCAGCACTGGCATTTACTACTACCCTTGTAAAAGCACACAACATTAAGCACGGAGTTTTTATTGGTGGTTTGAAAAACACATTTAAATCAAAATGAGTTCTTTGAATTTGCGGTTTCGGCAAATTTGCAAAATATTGCAAGCACGGCATGCATTTTAAGTGTACTCGTGATTTACGCATAAGTCTTCAGGTATGTACGTTTGTTGGTGTCTGTTTTTCATGCTATTTTGCTGAAGTTTTTTTTTTTTCAAAAATATATTAAATATTTTAATAAAAATTTATCGTATTTGCATCTACGAAGGTTGCGTATACGCCATGTGGTGCCAATGCAATATGCCACAAGGCAAGCTTATGCCTCGTGCAGTTAGTTATGAGTACCAATAAAATATTATTACATTTAATGTAGTAGAGAGCGCTAGGTAAATAAAAGTGAGAAATATTTCAGTAACACTCTAGAGGTGGACTGTAATCAAACACTCAAAGCTTTAGAGCTCTTACAACATAGGATCCATCTCTATCGTCGGCCAGCGTGGATTATAGACAGAATAAAACTGGTACTTGCCTTCAGCGAAGGAGAACTTTGCATCATTAAGCAACTTTTTTTAGGATGGGAACCCAGAGATATCATCTCCATAAGCTAGGTGAAGTTGAACCGGTTGTGTGCAGAACCTACGCAGGATGAGTTCAGTTATTAATGTTTCAACTAAGCTGTTTTGAGGAGGAGGTATTTCAAAAGCGAGACATATTTGTGGAGGGAAAAGAGAAAAGCTGAAAAGTGTAACTATTAAGAACTTGAGAAAATGGTCAACTAACGAAGTGCTTGAAAATTCTACAAACAAAATGAGACGACTTGCACGTGGCTCCAAGACTGAATAACACCTAAAGAATGACCTGATTTTAAAGCTGCCTTCGATAGGACAAAAAAAAGCTGCCTATATGCTTTTAAGTCTGAGTTTTTAATCCGCTTAAGAGGTGTGCATCAGAGATGAGCCCGTTCCATTCATGCCACTACTTCTTCTACAACAATGTTGGACTTATTAGTACGAGTTGCTACCACTAAGCGCACGACAGCAACGTCGAGTCATTGGTATGATCCCGTCTCAGGGCTGAATGAATTAATGTTTTATATAATATTTGCAAAATATTTTAGGTAGTAACGACCGTCTGGTCTATACATTCTTTGCCGCCGTAGGCTAATACCTCACACTTCAAAGTTGGATATATGGTTCGACCGCATGTATTTATTGTAGCAATACCAAAATATCTCCAAACCGTTTAACGAGAAATTGTTTCCCTTTTTCAATACTGAAGAGAATAATTCAAACGAAATAGAGAAGACTCGCGCACCACAATGAAACCCCTAACCACTAAGCTATCGTTATGATGTAGAGAGCAACGAAATCTGCGCAGCTCAACCGAACTTTTTAGCGAATAAAATTGAGCTGTAATGTACTAAAAGCAACAACAATATATGAATAACAAAGTGGTAAAAATTTCTGGTTTACCAAGAATTGAAAAAAAAATTAATGAAAATTATCTTGCCTCTAGTGGGACTGAAACCTGAAGTCTCATGCGATACATTCGTAACCTCTAACCAGTAGACTACCATGCAACGATCAACGTCGTTTTGCGCATTTCAATGGAACAGAGAGCAGAGAAAGGAATTCCCGCAGGAGACCGATGCAATCAGAGGAAGACAAAGATCTCACACCATTCAAAAGATCAGATAAAGAAGGATGCGGCTTCACTTGTTGGTTCAATTGGCACCGAACGAGCATGTCTAGTGGAGAACATGTACAAAATACAACGCAATAAAAAGTATCAATGCTTTTATAAAATAGAAATATTTATAAATTCAATTATTTTATTTTTCCTATAAATACCAAACGTAGCTTCCGAATTTCAATTTAATTACTTGAAATGTATTGGACACATTCTTTTCCTCGTCCACAACAATTACGAAAACAAAAACTTTGCCTTCAATTTTAATCTTTTTTCCAACGCTCACACAACTTCTTTGAGGCGAGTGTCTTTTACACTCCTATTAAAGCTTTTTCCTCTCAGTTATAGCGAAACAATATAAAGCGTTTTTATTGTGCTTTAAAATCTATTTCAATTGCTTTTTTTTACTTTCTGAGATTCTCTTAAGTATGTCTACTTCACTGATTTTTTTTTATTGATTTTAGTAAAGTTTTCTCTGTGATTTATTAGTGCTTTTCTTTATTTGTAATTACTTACGTCATGATTTGGGTATGTAGCGATATATTTCTTTTGTTTTGTTACATTTTTTACGTTTTATCTACACATTAATTATTGGGAAAAATAATTAAATTTCATTTTTTTGTTTAGAATTTATATAAACAGGGTGTCCTACCAGCATAAGGCAGCACTTTTCTTCAAAAATATTTTGTCTATTTCTAAATATAGTCATTATCTAAATACTAGACGAAATGATATATCATTAATGGTGAGATGAGTTCATCGTATTTCCAAGCAAAAGTTTCTGAAAACTTCAATTAAATAAAAAAAAGTTTAAAAAATGTATCGAAATAAAGGAAAATCCTCTCTCAGCCTTAGGTGAGATAATCAATGCACCAAGCAATTCAAAAGAGAAAAATGGTTTAATGACGGTAAAAGAAATTAAATTTAGCAAAACAAATACCCTACATTTTTTTTCTTTTTTCCTCTTAGCACTGACCTTTATTTTACTGTATTTTCCTTTTTATTTCCTAACAATTTTAATTGTCCATTTTATGCACGATTCTTTTATATTTACACACGAAAGAAAAGTTTCAGCAACCCATTTCATGGCATATATCATACATACATATATTCATTCACTCACGTGTTTTGCTTCATTGCACTTGGTGCCCACACATACGTTTGCAGTAAAAGTTTACGCTTCCACTAAGCTGCTTAGCGACACGCTCCAGCACCACAATTCATCAGTTTTCACCACAATTTTTGTTACTTTTTTCCCCTCGATAATATTCAAAAGCAGCGGGATTTATAATGACAGAGAAAATTGAAACAAAACAAATTTTTTTGTGCTACTCTACAAATCACAGCACGTATTAAGCTGTGAATACTTTTTTGACACGAAATAAATTGAAGGTAACTAAGCAGTAAGTTAAAAGGCATAACACCGCGCGTGGTGCTTCATGTCTTCAGCTGAAAGTCGAATGATGAGAAAAATTCTAAGATTATTCGTTTATTTATTTAATTATTTTTTTTTTTTTTTTTTAATACAAAAAACTCATGTCAAAAGATAAAAAAAGCAAAGCTGTCTTCGGCCATTTCAAATTCTTTAAGGCTTTCATGATCATTTGAAATTTACGGTGTTTCATTTTAGGATTAAATATTGATTGAAGAGAGCTACATAGTATATCAAGAAGTTTTCCGATTTTGCTGATCTTCGAAGACATTGTATATATGTAGAAACGAATGTAAAATACTAAGTTGCAAGCACTTGGATGTTTCTTCGAGTGATTTTTAACGGTATTGGAAAAATTGGGTGTATGGCAGCTATATATGTCATAGGCGTTCGATATCGATAATATTCGATATCAATGAGGTGCAGAATACCAAATCTCAAGTTATATAAATCTAACCCGATCAGTTTGAATATTGATGAACGGAAATAAATTCAATTGGCTCCAACTTGAAAATCTCGCAACCAAAATAATCATGCTGTGGTAGACAGTAGACATTTTTCTAGTGGAACAACAGTAAATATTACGTAAAGAACGCCCGCCAACAAACCGTAATTACAGCATACAATCTGCTGATGTTCTACTCGAATTGAACTTTTGTTCTCTGAGAGCGCTCTCAACAACACGAATAGCATTTCAATCTCGCTGCACACCACTGCTAGGTAGGTATTCGGCATTATTAGAAGAGGAGCTGTGTATGGAGAAGAATGCCGAGCTGCATTGAAATAAGGTAATGTTTCGATCGTTTGAGAGTTTTCGAGATATCTGGAGTTGAAAAGAGAAACAAGACGTAATAGCAAATCGAGAGGTCGAAATTCATAAGTATGAAAACAATGAAGGATGGAAGTAATTCTAGAAAATTTTCCAGAGCATACTCATGTAGAACTAACAATGTGCTTTGGTGACCCATGTCCAGAGCACATTGAAAGATTAAATTTCTAAAGGTTGAGAAAATTACCAACATCTTTCTAAATTCGCACCCCCGGGCTGCTGTTCGACCTCAGCGAACCCTTAAACCGAATATATCGGAGTAGTCGCATTGAAGCTTACTATCTTTTAGCCGTGGCTCAAGGCTCTACGCAAGTCAATTACCTCACCTTGGTGAGGTTTTTATGTTAGGTTAGGTTGCAGTGGCTACCGATCTATCAAGCTGGATTCACTTAGGCCTGACTTAGATCCATTGCGATACCACAAAAATTTGAACCCTCAAGTTTCATCCTCTACCCATTTTGATTCTCTAATGAACCTCATTAGTTACATGACTTTGACATCAGCTACCTTCGATAGACCTAACTCTAAGAAGGACACTCGCATAAGAGATGGGTGATCGTCTTCTCCTCTTCACCCTCCTTGCGGCTTCTGCAACATATTCTATGGGGATTATTAGTAGTAATGAACGAATCTCAAAAGGATGTTCATAAAACGACCTTCTTTGAATGAAGGCTGCTGAACCAGATTAAACCTTAGCTAGAGAAGTCAGAGAGTTCTACAATCTGAGCGGTCTTTCCATTTCTACTTAGAGGAAGATTTTCAGAAAAAAAAAAAATTTAAAGAAATAAGAAAAATAATAATTTTTTTCCATCAATCTTTCAAATATGTAATACCTACTCTATTCATTTTCATTTTTCTCATTGCCTCATTTCACTTCAAATAATGTTACGGTTTTTAACTGACAAATTGTGCTGATTGCTGGTAACACTTTCAGTTCAGTGATTACAGAAACGTCACACGTTCGTATGCACATAACTACTTATGCATGTATTTTTATCTTACTAAGCAAAATTACTGTTTATTAAAGCTTTACGAGAACGTTTCACACTCCTTTCATAATCAACACCGCCATACACACTCTCCAAAAATGTTTGCTTTATGCATACAAGTATGTATGTTAGACTGTGGCAATAGAAAATAATGGGAAATTTATGAGTATAATGTTTGGGAATTTTATGTTGCAAGCTCTTCTTAATTTAATTTTTTTTTATTTTTATTTTTTTTGCTATTAAAGCACTAGACCTTTTTATTTGCTGTTGCTGTTTTGTATGATTAAAATATACCTATCAATAATTCAAAAACACATTCATATACTCATACATTTTTCCATTACAGTATTTTAAATATTTACTCACTTCGATTATGCATATATTCGCAAGCATTTATCTGGTAGTTATTGACTCAAATTTTTCAAGTTGAGCAAGTTTGCACATATCAAAACGTTTAGTTATTAATTAAATAAGCTCTTGAAGATAATAATCAATTGATGTTACTGCTAACTGATTAATTAGCTAGGCACTGTAATTTATGCATAAGTTTATCACATGTCTAAGCATATATATTATACGAGTATATGTATATATCACGTCTGAGGTGTTAAAATCAAATCTCAATTATTTTTTACTATTTCAAAGGGTGTTTTTTTATATGTGAATTTTAATAAGAAATAAATATTTAGCTTTATTATAAAGATAAAGATTTTTTATTATGTTTTAAAAATAAATTCGGGTAATTGGCCATCCCAGGCTGGCCCGAATAATTTCTAGCTGAAAGCGCTAAATTTCGACCACTTTTTGCAGCAATGGGGGCCGTATATTAGAAATTTGCGTAGAACACATAAACCCCAGCGGTGTTGAATAGACGCTGTTTGATGCACTTACCAAATGTTTCCTTCTATGAATTACTTGCTTCTTGGATTGTATAATAGTCGTAGTGCCGTCTTGTTGGAACCAAAAATCGTCCTTATGAATATCCTCTAATTGAAGCACGTATGGCTTTTTAACATCCCAATTGACCGTAAGATTATGAGATTTTGACCGGCTCATAGCACCAAGCAATGACCTTTTGAGTGTATACTACCGTAATAATATGAAGATAATAGGCAGAGTACACCAAATGTGACAAATATATTTGTTGACTTAACCATAGAACTAAGAACCCAAAAAGATCTTCGTAGTTGAACAAAATTTTCTTTCGATTAACGTGATTGAAGGCACTCTAGTTTTGGGTCCATTTACGTTCGTACGGATTTTCTAAGCCTTCACACTAAGATCCTTCCCCGGAAATTTTCCATAAAGTGGCTGGGCACAGCTTTTAGTGTTGCGCGCGATTGCAGTTGGATTTATTTAGATTTTTTTCGATGCATCTCTCCGCAGTAGCAATAGCGTCTTCGGTGTGCGCTATGATTCGCATTATCCACTAGAACTCTAGTACTGAAGCTCGATTTACTGACTCTTCTAGGTCATTATGTCGACCGAATATTGGACACAGGGCGAGATGAGTAGCGCGAACGGAACCATTAGTTTGCTAATTAATTTGCAATATGATGAAATGACTAACCAAAGAATTTTACATAGAGACAGAGGTAATAAGCTTTACCGACTTAATATTTTCGCAAACTATCTTTTACTAAAGTGGAGTAATACTACCTACATTTAAATGCAACACCTTTCTTAACATACATACATACATTGCATTTAAAGAATGGGAAAATTAACCATCCAAACGGCTTGCAAAACAAATAGAAATCTGAGAATCTTAAAATACAATCTGAACCATAAGACATTTCGCTTGAAAAACCCAACAAGTAGCACCACTAGACGGCAGTTGTTGTACTGAACAGCAGAAAAGTGGCCTCACAGACTCGTTTTAAAATTCGTGGAGAAGGGAAATTAGTTAGGGGGAAGTGCAGAAGTTATTTTTTAACACCCAACTATACAATGAGCTAAGGGAATTTTAGCTTTGCTAAGCTAACAGCATAAAAAATAATTCTGCCAAATCCATCCAAGTCCGTTTATTGAAAATTGGTGGATATAAACTCAAGTATTGCAATAAAGTATGCCACCTGGATGAAAAGACAACAAATACCCACAATTAAGGAAAAATTAAGCTGAGGTGATACTGTATATTAGTTGTTCCATTGCATCATTTTCATAGATAGACTCATATCGCATATATTTAAGAATTTTATTAAAAAAAAAAAAAAAATTTGTCCTTAGTACCGAAGATAGACAGATTTTGAGCTCAAAGTTGCCCTTTGTTGCCTGTTGGCCAACGCACTCAAGCCAATAGGCATATTGTGATACTTCTGTGAGGTTCTTATCTTTAGCTTCTGAAATCTACGAATCCTTTCGTGTAACTTACAAAAGTAATGAGTTTACTAAGAATTGTTGAAGCTAGCTCAGCAAGAAAGTCTCCGTTCCCACAGCTGTGGCAAAAATCTGTACAGTGCCCATTATTTTCTCGTAAATCCCAATTAAACAGTAACCTGATATTATGCCTGTCGTTGTGCTAATGGAGAACTGGTCTAGAAGGATATTCTTGGGCATAACTGTCTGGTCATATTGCACGAGATCTCATTTTACCAGTTTTTTTTTGGCAAAAGCCAGTTTCAGCTCCGCTGCTGCTTAAAACCTTACATGCAATAATGACGTGGCATTGGTACAGATGGATGATATTGAAATCGGCGAGCATCTTTTCATCCGACCATATTCTGCAAAGAAGCTGACGCCTACAAATCCTACTCTAAACTTTATTAGGCAAAAATCACCAGGAAAAATTTCGTCATAATTGAATATCCATGCGCTAAAACAAATTATTCGGTGTTCTTACATTTCCTGCTGCTGAAATTGTTTTCAAGATGTCCTTACTATTTTTTGTTTTATTGCTTTTATTTTTTATTAAAACTGTTATCATTCTTCTTCATCACAAGCATATATTTTCTTTATGCTGGAATGTTAATTAAGGTAAGACTAGGAAAATGATTTAATAAAGCTACAAATAAATAAACAACCCCTTGACATTCACTTACACTTTATGTCATAACGCCCAATTCGGTGTACGTACATACCTTCAACATGTTGACTAAAGCACATTCTTCGGTAAACAAACTCTATAGGCAGGCAAATAGCTAAAGCGGAGAAGTATACGCAGAAAAAATGAACAGAAAGCAACGGCTTATAGTTCAACCAGCTATCGATGTACCGGGTCAGCTGAAAAAAATTTTCTCATGAAAGCGTTATGTAA